CAAGTGTCCCGAAATGATAAAAAAATATTTTTTCCACTGCTACTAAGACTTTTAACAGGACAACTAGGTTTTCTTATCCCTTGCGTCGATTCCTCTTAAGGCTGGAATAATAAACCTAACGCATCATTAACTTAAAGGTACGTACGCATCAATAATTTTGTATTTTGAATCGATATAGTCTTCGTAGGCATACTTTGAAGTGGTTTGCTAATGTTTCTATCCATTAGCAAGAAGCACATAAAAGTTTTAAGTACTTTTTTAATTTCTTCGTTTTACACCCTTGATGGCCACTTGGTCTTATTGCTTAGCAGGCCATCAAAACGAATAACGAGCAAATAAATTGTTTGTGATTAAGTTGGCAAACAATTGCTTTGCTGAAGATGGGGGTAAATTCATTGTACAAAAACTTTGTAACGGCCAAAAGGAAGCTTCAGAGACCCAGAGATAAGGTTAATATTTTCTAAATCATTGATAAGTTTGCAGTCCGTCTATACATCTATGTAATGTCGCAAAAAGGCGTTCTCTCGTTCGCAAAATTTGCCATACCTTGGAATTTCTTGCATACAGGAAATGGTCCAAATCGATCAAAGGCAGCATAAGTCGATAATTTCCACAGTCCCTATAGGATCATCCACATCATTCACGGCGAAATCTTTACCATTGCATCGTATTGTAGTCTATGAATGATGAGTAAACAATTCAATCTTCTGGCTTTTGAAAACAATAGCGTTCGCAGTTTATCGTGTACCGTGGGCGTCTACTTTAAACGATTTTTCTCACATTTACGATCAATCCCCGCGTAAAAGCTTTCAAAGTCGATGTCTTCATTTTTATGATCAAGGGTAGGATTACCAGACGAACAGACCGACAAATTTGAGCTTCTAATCGGCGAGCATCCAATGTGATTTTGTGGATTTGGCTCATCAATCCTGGCGTGGCCATCTCCTATGGACACATCCCTCAACATTTATGTCATCAGGTCGTACTTCACTTTCCGACTTTTTTATTGATTGCAATGAAGCTTTTTACGTTAGAGTATTGTATTGCATATAGTAATAACCAGTCTTCTCCACGTCTGCAAATTCATCCACGGCATTCACTATTAATGGCTATTAAACTAAGTAGTGTCTTCGAACTTTCAACCGTAAGCATTACAAGGCTGGCACATTTGAGTATAATCAAAATTTTTCAAATAATAATCCCTAGGTGGACCAACTCTGTGACTAGACTTACATCGACACTTGGAAAATTTTACTAACTTTACGAAGAAATTCATGGTGATCCGAAAGCATTAATTAAATAAATCAACTTAATAGGCTGTAAATCAGGTTGAGAGAGAAAAACTTTTTTTGCAAATGAGTTTAATCATAACATATGTGCTACAATTGCTTGGAGATTTATCGTGCAAAGCGATCAATCTATCGTAAGGGATATGTCGTTAAGAGGATAATTTTTTTACGATCTTCTTCGTTCCAATGAACTTATTTAAAAAAAAAAAAAAAAGTGGGGCAATAGAACTCATTTTGTTACTGCATACTAATCAGAATTTTACTTTCTTGTTGTTAGATGATAGTGTTCAGGTGTGTAAACCAAAAGGTTTTCTTAATATGAAAAACAAGGTAATTTTTATTATTTTCAAAATTTTATTAAGAGTGTATTTGAGATTTGATTTCATACTTATAAAAAAATCGCTTAATATCAATTTATAAAAAAGTAATAATAATAAAAATATTCGACACGTAACAAATGTACAATGAATCTCTTTAGAAAGGCGAACCTTAACATTTGTTTTATGTTTTTACAAGAACGCAAACACATAGTTGTTTACTTATAACGATTGAAAAAAAAAATTGTTAGTACGAGAGATAAAATTTGCAACAAAAATTAACACTAGCTGAATACTAGATACGCGTGCGAGAACTGCACTAACACGTAAATATATACAAAAAGAAAGATTAATAACTTAATACTATTTCAACATTAATCTTTTTGATTACAAGTGCGGAAAGGTGAAGGAAAGATGAAACTAATGGATATCGATGGCTATATGAGAGAGAGAGAGAATGAGAGCGAGAGCGAGAGAGGTAAAGAGATAGATAGAGAGAGTTAGATAGAGAAAGAGAAAAAGAGAAAGAAAGAAAGAGGGTGAGTGAGTGAGTGAGTGAGTGAGAGAGAGAGAGAGAGAGAGAGAGAGAGATAGAGAGAACGAGAAAGAAAATGTATATGTATAAATATGTTATATATATACATTTATATATATATATATAGTTAAACTAACTACCGGCACCTAAAATGGCTGATATGCTAAAACCTTTCTTTTTTTGATCATTACTTTGACTGCTGTTGCTATTGGTGTTGATGTTGTTGTTATTGTTGTTGTTGTTGTTGTTGCTGTTATTGTTGTTGCAATATTGGTTGACCGGTGATTGCGGTAATGTATCATCGCTCATTAATTGCCTGGATGCTGTTGTTTGTGCAGTTGTTGTTGGAGTTGCTGTTCTCGTTGTATCCTCTTGCAATAATGATGAATCGGACGATGAAAGATCGCCATCGTTTGTCAGACAGCAGTCTGTGGAGGTAGTTGAGGGGTTAATGCCTGAAACACGCATTGGCAATATGCTATTTAACGCCACGAATTGTGGCAATTGATGTCGTTCTTGTTGTTGTTGTTGTTGTTGTTGGTGCTGGTGCTGCTGCTGTTGCTGGTGCTGGTGGTGTAGCTGTTGCTGTTGGTCATCAATTGTTGTTGTAGCTGATGAGGAGGGCAAATCATCTGTAACATTTGATGGCAATGGTAGCGAAGGTACTGATAAACCGGCAGCCACCATGCTTTCATGCTGAGCCATCGCAGCGTAAACATGCGGTGGGTAGAGAGGTTGCGGCCGGGTAAAATACGAGCATGCCAAATCGACCAACGAAGGTCGCAGTAATGATTGCATATTTTGCTGGAAATGATGCATGAAAGCTACGGATGTTGCATCATTACTCGCGCCACTGGACTGCAATGAGTGCTGTTGAAAAAGTTGGTTAGCACTGTTCGCCATGTAATCGAATGATGTTGGCGCTGTAGACAGAAAACTGGTTTCATTAGAACAAACTGCTTCACTAGAGCGCATGCGTTTTATTTGTGTCGGTGTTGAAACATCAACATCAACATCGTCACTGCCATCGCGACCGCCACCGCCCCCGCTACCGCAACCGCCATCGCCATCGCCATCGCCAACACCATCAACATCGCCATCGCCATCACCGTCCACGACAACGATGTTATCATTGTAATAAGCCGTTACTGGTTTATCGCAACAAATTGATGACGCCGATGTTATGTTGATTGCGGTGCTGGGAGCGTTAGATTTTAAAGGTGACATATCATGGCCAGATTGCTGTTGTAGTTGTTGCTTGTGTTGTTGCGGTGATATCTGCTGTATTTCATGTTCACCCCCACCGCTACCGCTATCGATATTATTAGGCGATAAAGACATTTTGCGTTTACAACGCGATTGCCCCGTTTCACGAAAGCCTTTAGCAAATGGATTATTATCGATCTTTAGTTTGGTAATGCGATCGTTCTGCGTGCAAAGAAGAGCGGAAAATAAGCACCAGAGAAGAAA